ATAGCTGCTTTTATTTTAACATATTTTATAGTTGTATTTCAACAAATGCATATATTTGCTCTTACTCAATCTTTACTCTTATTAAATTCCTATAATTTATTATTATTTTGTTTTTTAGATAAGAACAACACTGTTACAAAAGTTAATAAAAAGACATTCACCATTTGGACATGTCTTTCAGGAGTTGCTTTAAGTAGTTGTTCCTAAATCTTTGAAATGTGGGGGCACTGCAGTCTAAATTTAATAACAAAAGAGCTGCACCAACAACAGGATGTGACAGTCAAAAATTGTCACTGTGGGTGGAAATTATGTCAGTTTTCTTCTATGATTGACATAAATGGAATCTAAATCTGACCAAAGCTTTTAGTTATTGTAAAACTCCTATTATTGCAACAACAAAAAAATCAATTTCAAATTATTCTGCAACCTGGGTAAATATAGTAATACATCAAGAACAAATTGTAGGTAATTTACACTTTAAAATATCTGTCACCAATTTAAAATTTCTCATACTTAAAAAGACAAAAGAAAGGACATCAGTCATCCTACATTCACACACACACATAGAAAACACAGCAAAAAATAAAGAAAAATGACCTAGTATCAATCAAAGATTAGGTCAAAAATTGTTCTCAGTTTTGTTTGTTTGCTTAGTTGGTTGGATGGCTGGTTTGTCATTTCAGCTTTTATTTTATGTTATTTTTTATATATATATATTTGTGTTTTGGACTTATTTTTTCCCTAGTAGTAGCTAAAAAAAAAAAGACTATTAATACTAAACTAACTATCTCTAAATTACCGTCAGCAAATAATAATTGCAACTTTTGTTTAGCCTGTGTTGAAATGGCAAAATGTTAGATGAAGTCTGGGAAACCTATTTGATTTTGATCTAAATTTAGTTCTAACGTCACAGCATTGCAAAAACACCCGCAAACAGCAAAGAAAATCATTGAAAGGGTCTCAAAATTCGCGTAACAAAATGCAACAATAGTTCTCGTGACTGGTGAACTCCAACTAGCAAGGCACAAATCAGCTGCGGTTTGCACAACTTGGCATGGCTGCTGAGGAAATCCTCATCCTTTGTAAATAGTTTTTGTGCAGTATTTTGAAAAAAAGGTTAAAGAAAATAAATGGAAACAAACTATTAGACAATAAATTTTCATAAGAATTAGAAGGAAATATTACTACCATAACTGACAAGGCTAAAGTTGCTTTCATCCTTGCAGCTGGAAATTGAAATGAATTATTTTACAGTGCTGAATAATTCTTTAGAACACAGTTTATGATTAGTATCACATGTCAAAAACATAGAGCTAGAGATAAAACTTCCATCTTCCAATTTACAACCAATCTAACGGGCTATTTCAAAGGTCTTTTTCAAGAAACCTGGGAGGCATTCAATCATCTCTCATTTAAAATCTAAATGGTTCACATTTGAAACGGATAATAAAGTTATCTAGTTCATTTGTGCTCTTTACTTTTTTATTTTTTGCATTAAGGCCACCAGGGGTACATGGTGTTCTGCTTCAAAAATAATTGCATCCCTAAATCAACCCTGGTATGGATTATGCTACATTAATTACAAACTGTACAAAACATCAGCTTTGACTGGTTTTCACTCCACTTTAGTTAAGAAGATGTTCTCGAGCCAATTGAGAACATCTTTTGTAGAACTTTCTGCTGAACCACACTGAGTCATCAAGCACAATAGGTCAGACGCATGACCAAACTGCAAGTCTTCCAAATGTGTTTTTAAACCAGATGCTCCACATTCAAAGTTGTTTAACTTGAACAACGTGTTAGTTTTGTAGCATAACTTTAAAGAAAAGTTAAAATTACTATTATTGCAACAAGTTTGGAGAAATTTCCAAAACATTGCTGTTTTTAGGAACCCCATCAACCCATCAACAACACTTGAAATGAACAGATTACATGTGATGTAATTAATAAATCAGAAATGTTTTGGAAATACTTAAAGTTAACAAATAACTGTCTTTCATCAATGCCCTTTGCAGTCAGCAGAAATGTATGTCACATTAACACGAGGCAGGTGGCCTACGTCTCTGTGTAGGAGCAAATAGCTTCCTATTGAAACTCTTCACCTCTAAAACTTCACAGGCAGCTTATATCCATGCATTCTGCCTTTTTGAGTATTTTAATACGCAAACTTCTGAAACTTTTTTTGCAATACTTAAAAAAACAGTATTTTAAAACCTGATTTAGAACTGTCCAGGGACCACCAATGCCTCTCATCCAAAAATCACTAGAGATAGACCACAAAGAGAAGCAGGATGGATTGAAGAATGGATTCTATGTAAAATATAAAAAAAAAGAGACTGTATGGGCAGATTGAAAGAAATATGCAACTGCGCATGACATGACAACTTAAATGTGCATAAATGCTTGCTTATTTGTGCCTAAAATCAACAGCATTCTATTTACAAGAATATGAAATAGCTGGGCAAATAATAGCTGGGCTATGATGGTTATAAAGTCCACAAATTAAGTTTGTAAAATTTGTCAGAATCCAATTAGCTGCATACACCAATAAATGTCAGCCTAAAATACAGTAGATTAAGAAGCCTTTAGCAAAAAAAAAAAAACCTGAATTAGACAAGTTATGTCGTCTCAACACAAAATCAAGTATTTTTTACTAGGTCAAAATTAATGACTTTAAGAATAAATAAATAAAATAAAATAAAAAAACAGTTGGTGCTACCTAATAATCTCTATGAAATAAATATAACTGAGGAAGTTGATTAATTCACACTATACATTTTGAAGTGGATCTTATGGTTTACAAACTTTGATTTTCAGTTTCTATGAGATAGAAATATGATTATATTATGCATAGGCCTGTTTCCTAAAGACAAGACTAGCTGAGCATTGATCCCTTTATTATGTCAGAAAATTGCTACAAGCAAGCAGCTACTCAGCTAAATTTGAAAATATACACATTAATAGCAATAATCCAAAAGTTTAAATCATATCCAGTGACATGCAAGGACCAAAGATTATCTTGCCATAACATATAGTGAATATGATGGAGAATTAGATCAAAAATGTCCAAAACACAGTTATTTAGTAGCTGAAACGTGTTGCATATCAGGGTCCCCAAGTCCTAATAAAGCCATTAAACACCATGTATTTGTCAACAAGTTACATAAGGGGTGGAGGGAAGAAGCCCTTTCTGTCCTACTATTAAAAATATAAATTGATTTCAACTTGAGCCATGTTCTTTGGATAACCAAAGATATAAGCTTGAGATTTTCTTCAGTAAACACTGAGATAAGCAAGTCTGGTGTGAAAAAATGATGAATTTCTGGAAAAACACCTCATGTCCACTGTTCAGTAAAGTGGAGAAGCTATGACGCTGTGGGCCTGTTTCTCTAGCAAAAGACTAGAGATCTTCTTATTGTTTCAAATAATTCTTGCTATTTGAAAGAGAAAATAAACTCCTTCAAGTAGCAGAAAACTTTACATTATAATACATTCTGCTGTTTGTCTGACAGGCCTAAAATGCCTCATCATGAAATCTTTCACAATACTTGTGGCCGAATTAACACAGAAATGCATCACCAGACACAAAATTGATTTTCCACCATGGTCGTCTCAATCCCCAGATCTAAATTTAACAGAAATCCAGTAGCCTAATATGAAATATTATAGGAGACTGTTATTGTCTTAAAACAGCTGAATAAAGTAAAGTATTACACTGGAATATCAATTTAGCTTAAATCTGTTTTACATGGGCTGTAAATAAATGTGTTTGCTGTTATATCAATAATAACTACATATTTCAATTCATTTGGAAAGTTAGCCAGAGTCCATGAAATGTTATCAAGTTTGATCTTTTCTTTTTGTTGTAGCACAGACAGGTCAGTCAATAGCATCTTTAAGAAAAATATTTCAAAATGTGTGATTAATGCTTAAATCCAACACTCATATTGCTTTGCCAGACACTCTGGGAACAAACTGAACATTTATCTTCACACTGTGGCCTGCCTGCTAAGTGTTGGCAGCAGTCACTTAACAATAGTTCTCTTTTGTCTTGGAAAGCATTCTTCTTTCATCACCTCTATACTTTACAACTCAGACATAACGCATCTCAATATGTTTGTGTGTATTATAACATCCAGGCGGATTTCCCTGTGGGGATCAATGTGCAGCACTCACAGGTGACTTTATGGTTGGCTATTTTTAGTGCTATATCTCAATTATAATCCAACTGGGACTGAGTGTGTTTTGATGAAACACAGATTCTCGGTGCTGACTTCATGAACACCTCATTGCACTTAATAGTGTTTGTTTTAATCTCTTGAGAGATCACCCAGAAACATTCTCACAGGTATTTAATGCTGCGATGCGCGGTGCTCCGTGGTGAGTTTTCCACTCACCTTATCGCACTTTATGGCGTGCTTTTTAACGTCCTCGTCGTCACTGGCTGCTTTAAATGGTCTCAAATAAAAAACATTGAGGTTTTATGGGTATTACGTAACGCAATTTACGGAATACCCCACGGGCCAATTAAGGGATAACGATATTTTGTAACAAAGTCAGTAATCTGCCAGCCTTGCATAACGCCGGGGTCTGGATGCGCCGTGATACAGCAGATGCGCAGGCTGGCGTGCTGGTAATGGATTGTAAACACGGGCAGCCTATAGGCCTCGGCTGCCTTGCTTCAGATATTATTCTGATGGAGGAGAGCCACCTTCTCTCCCCGCCACCTGCAGAATGCGCAAGTCTCTAACAGCCCACTGCAGCCCGTGGCCTCTTGATTTACTGCACCACACAAAAACAGACAGCAAAGAGGGCTTTGGCAGCAATCTTTGCATATTAATGCAGTGACAGCAAAATGCCATGTTGCCCCGCTGGAGGAAGAAAAATAATAATAAGGGGAAAAAAGCACATAAATATGCAGAGTGGCCTAGAAAGAGCACGGTGACAGCCCTCGGTGTATTGATGGAGATGGAGGTACACTGGGGGAAAACGGTGCTTACCTCCAGCGTTCGGATCTCTTTTTGTGTCAAGTCGTTGGATGTGGCACATTTGGTCCGTAAACCCTCCAAACTGGAAATGCTTATGTCTATCATGTTTTGCACCAACTCGCACTGCTGCAAGGCTTTCTGCAAACTCAGATGCTGCTCCTCGCTTTTTGTCATCTCCTCGTTCATAGTTTAGCGACCGATGGATGTTATTATTTTTTTTTCCTTTTTGCACTTGCAAAATAGACAAAGAAGTAAAATAAGAAGAGGGGGGGAAAAATAATAATAATTCAAAAAAGAAATGTGGAGGAGCCCATGGAGCAGAGCAACCTGCAGAACGCCATGAAACGAGATGTTGCAGGTTTTTATTTGAGCCGCGAGAGAGTCGACTCCATTGTAACAGTCCTCGTAGTTTCCTGCTGGATCATCAAGGTGTCTCTGGACGGATGCTTAGATCAAGCACGATGCACAGACACGGAGCGGGACTACACGGCTGGACGCAGCATCCATCGGGTGCCCCCTTCCTTTCAAATGGTTGTCAGAGAGAAGAAGGGAGAAAAAAAAAGAAAAAAGAAGAAGAAAGCTGAAGCTGCTCAGCGCATCATAAGCAGACGGATCGGGAGGAAAAGCCTGGTTGTTGGTTTAAAGGTGCTGGTGTGTGGACTGGATGCAGGTACTCCCTGTCTCTCTTGGCAGCAGCTGCATCCCGGTTCGTTCCCACCACACCGACATGTTTCCTGTCAATCAAACCCACAGCAACAGCATCGCAGCGCCCAGGCACAGCCGTGAGGGGCCGCTCTCGCGAGAGAAAGTGCAGCAGAAGACCTCAGTCTGCAGGACTGGACGGAAAACTGGGTTATTTTCGAAACTTCTGATCAGAAATACGTTTAAAATGCCCGAAAAAAAAATAACTTGATAAAGAAGTTTGGTATTGGTATTGATTGATTGATTGATTGATTGATTGATTGATTGATTGATTGATTGATTGATTGATTGATTGATTGATTGATTGATTGATTGATTGATTGATTGATTGATTGATTTTGTAGAATAATTTGTTTCTGTGAAATAAACATTAATAAATAAAACAACTGGGAATTAATTTACTTCAGTATTTAAAATATAGTAAGCAAAATTTTAATTATATGCATACACAGACTGATATGTTTAATGCAGTTGTTTAAGATTAATTCAAATATATCTTACAGTCATTTAATTAATTTACTTCAGTATTTAAAATATAGTAAGCAAAATTTTAATTATATGCATACACAGACTGATATGTTTAATGCAGTTGTTTAAGATTAATTCAAATATATCTTACAGTCATTGAAAATCCAAAAATCAGAGTAACAGACAGGGTAAACCAAAATAAAAATAAAACATAATTATTGTCCTACAAAGTAACATTCCATTTTTGTACAACGGTACTCAATGCAAAATAAAATTATTGGATGCAACACTCTGAGCAGCAAGTTTCATTCACTGCAACCTGTCAAGCTGGTCTGACCCACAACTTACCAACACACACTTTCATCTGTGCCTAAATGCTACAGACTCAGAATGCTGGATGGTGTTGCTTTGGAAACAAATCACAAGGTTTCCCTCCTGAACCTGTTATATCTGTGTCATGATTTTCCATAAGGACAAAACAGTGAATATATAGATTCATTTATTTAAATGTGAAAACAATTTGCCTATAGAGAACTGTGTTTTCCATTGCTGATTAATATTGTTTGTAAATCGCAGAGATTTTAGCCTAAACAGCTTTACAATCTAATATAATAACAGAGTGGAATAGAATAGATATAATGATAAATAAATAATCACTTCAGTGTTATACCACTGCACCCTGAGGGCGTAGAGAAGCATTATGGCACATTCTTTCTGCAAGCAGCTGTGAGACTGTAACCATCACTACAATCAACAAACTCAGTGAGCCATTAAAAGTCCGCTGTTGTTTGTAATAGACTATATCTGCTTCTTGTAAATAAAATGCTGTTGCTTTTCATGCACATATTTTATATTTGTATTTTTTTTAACATTTCTATAATCACCTGAATATTTATTTTAATTTTAGCATTCTACTTTAACAACTGTTCAACATTATTTTTTATGTCTTAAATTTGCCCTTAATGTCTCATATTCTAAGTTTCATTTATTTATTATTTTTGTGTGAATATCAAGTCTCCCTAACATTTTTTTTACAGCGTGCAACTGTTGTCCCGCCCTTTTGAGACCAAAAGGCGTCACCCGATTGGTTGTACGTCATGACGTTTTGACGCGAGTTTCTTTGCTGAGCGCGGCAAACATAGCCACCATCAAAGTAAAACGTACCCAAAAAACTCCGAAAGAGGACACATTTTATCTAGTTTTCTCCTTAACTGTTACTAAAATACATGGCGACAACAAGCAAAGGGCAGTTACAGACCAGAAACCTGCCATGGTGAGCATAAAGTCTATGTTTGTTGGCAGTTACGGCTCGGTTTATTAGCGTTAGCTAGCTGACACCAACGGTGTGTTTTCAAGGTAGCTTCTGACTTCATCAGATTATGTCTTCACTGCTCAAAGATTGTCGTTTTTTTTAGATATTAGGATAATAGCGGGATGTTAAGAGTACCATTCTACTATATAGCGGGTATATTTATGTTTACGTACATACATCGAAGCACATAAAGCTTTACCTGGGTTTTAGGTGCAGGTAAAATACAAAGGTTTTGCTTCGAACTTGGGGAAAAGGAAGAAACATCAGACAGGTCTGCAGAAATACGGAATTTCATTTAAATCCCTTCAAGGTCTTATTAGTTATGTTCACAGTTCTGTGTTTGGCATACATTGACAATTTGCCTCAGGTTACTTTTGCAGTTTTCTAGTTTATTGTTGCAATCACGTTTTCCAAACATTTCCAGATTGAAGTTGGAAATGACAAATCACAATTAATAAATACTAATTGGAGTTTTGTATCCGTTTTCCATTCCAGGGTTGAAAAATACAGACCTAAGACACTGGATGATTTAATTTCACACAAAGACATTCTGAGCACCAGTGAGTATTAGCTCTCCACTACAGTGAAAACCATTGAATAACTGTCTGTCTTAAACTGATAACCCTGTTTGTGTTGTTTGCTTCTTCCTTGTCTTTAGTCCAGAGGTTCATCAGCGAAGACAAGCTTCCCCACCTGTTGTTCTACGGCCCTCCTGGAACAGGAAAGACCTCCACCATCCTCGCCTGCGCAAGGCAGCTCTACAAGGACAAAGAGTTTAACTCCATGGTGTTGGAGGTGCCGTTAAAATCCTTATTACTAGATTTTATTTTATTGCAGTTTGAAGGTTTATTTTATTGCAGTGAGACATTGTTTCTCTTTAGTTTTATGTTCTAATTGGACTCATTATGTTTTGCAGCTAAATGCATCAGACGACAGAGGGATTGACGTAGTCCGAGGTCCTATTCTGAGCTTCGCCAGCACCAGGACTATTTTCAAGTAAGCAACACTTCCTATGTCAAAAAGCAAAAGGTCTGATTTGGTTCATTTTCTGAATGACGGCAAGTGGAATTGCAAGCTGCTTCCCATTTAAGCATCCCTCTTATGTTCCAGGAAGGGCTTCAAGTTGGTGATACTGGATGAGGCCGATGCCATGACCCAGGATGCCCAGAATGCATTGCGACGAGGTGAGCCATCTGTTCTCCCAGGCATCGCCTACTGTGAACTTACACGGCTCACTGAACACACACATAATTTGGCTGCTTGTGAATAAATATATCTGCTCTGCTAACCTGGTGTTGCTTCTCAAAAGTGGCACATTGAACAGATTTAAAGCACAAATTTGGGTTAAAGTTTAAATGTTTTATTTTTGGAAACATTTGTTTACTCCAAAACTTTGCAGTTGTATCATATTTTGATGTCAGATGTTAAACAAATTTTACGCAACTTGTGTCTGATTTTGAGTGATCTGCCTGTCAAAATGTGTCATGTTGTCAAGAAAGTTATTCTTTAATCAAGTGCAGTTTCTGAATAAAAGGTTGTCATTACATGACTGAAAATGTTGGGATGCTAATTATAAAATTTTTTCCTCAGGTTTTTTTATATGTTCTTCTTTTATTGGTTATGTTGGTATTTGTTTCCCCTTTTCTTATTGCTCTCTCCGTCTGTCTCAGTCATTGAGAAGTTCACAGAAAACACTCGATTCTGCCTGATCTGCAACTACCTGTCCAAGATCATCCCAGCCCTGCAGTCTCGCTGCACCAGGTTCCGCTTTGGACCGCTGTCTCCGGACCAGATGATCCCTCGACTGGAGCACGTTATCCAGAAGGAAAAGTAAGAAAACTTCTTGATTTTTGTATTGCTGTTTCATTAATAGCTTTTACATTCATGAGAACCTAACTGATTAGAAGGTCAAGAAAATTGTTACTGAATGCTTTTGTAATACCAGTTTGATACGCTTAGTAGTCATTTAAGTCGCTTTATGACATTAAATAATTGACAAATTATTATTCTAAAACACATCCTCCTGGATTTTAGTAATTTTAACTGTTTATCTTTATAGGAAATAATGAAGCTCATCCTACTTTATATCAATGATTAATTACTTTTTGCGGTAGGTTTAACTGCAGTTATCAGAAATAGTAATAATGTTTCTCCAGTCCAATGAATGTGCAACTGACCAGGAAGATTTAATTTTTTTATGTACGTATTGTGTGTGTATATTAAACACTAAAAAGACAACAGAATATTTACAAAATGGCACATCAGTGCAGAGCAGAAACCCAGACATACAGTAATCACAATGCAGGATGAAAATTCAGTTGCTCGATTAACCACTATTTGTTTCAACCTAAATTTAAACTTTTTGACCCAGCATTGACGTCTCTCCAGATGGAATGAAGGCCATAGTCAATCTGTCGACAGGTGATATGAGAAGATCACTCAACATCCTGCAGGTACGACTTGAGGCAAATCAGCTGCTGTCAGTCGGCTTAAAACTGAGCTGTGGCTTGTATCGGGTGGAGAGCAACCTGAGCTGACTGCCCTCTGCCTCTCTGTGGTTTCAGAGCACCAGCATGGCGTATGAGAAGGTCACAGAGCATACGGTCTACACCTGCACCGGCCATCCTCTCCGCTCCGACATAGCCAACATCCTAGACTGGTGCCTCAACAAAGACTTCACTTCAGCTTATAAACGTATCCTTCCCTTTCACTTCCTATTATTATGCAGATAATTCAGTAGCTTTAAGTAAAGGATCCCTTTGCTTAAAGTTATATAGATCTGAATCTATCATTTCAGATTAAGTTTTTTTAACATTACTTTTGGGTTTTGGAAGATTTCTTTTTAAATCTTAAAATAACATTTTTCTCAGGAGCTTGTGCTTTACCAGTTCTTTAACATTTTTTTAAAGAGGTTCTTGAGCTGAAGACTTTGAAGGGTTTGGCTCTGCATGATATTCTGAGTGAAGTGCATCTGCTCGTCCACAGAGGTAAGTTGTCTGGATCTGTACATTTTCTAAGCAAAAATAAATTCTATGATCTAATTATGATCTATTTATCAATTTATTCAATGTTCTGTAGACAGTAAAACAACATTTTTTACAAAACACTTTAAAATACCACTTTAAAGTACAAAAAACTGTTTTCTTCACATGTATTCTCAAAGACGGAGACAAAGACATCTTGGACACAACTTGGATATTTCAAAAGCACAATAAAAAGACATGGTTTAAAATGGATGAGGCTACAAAATGAGACCTGAGATTTAAAGAAAATATACCTTATTTTTTGTAAACTACA